GCAGCTAGCATATTGTTGTAAGAATGGCATTAGTATTATGATTTCCTTTGCTAGATGAGCTGATAACACTGCTGTTTTGACTTTCTCACCACTAATAAGGGTGTAACTTGAGTTACTGAGAATGGTATTGGTTAATTCTAATTAGACACATTTAATATTTCATGGCTGGGGTGGGGAGCACTTTTGTGTTTATATTCAGGTCTGACCATTCCTCTTCCTTTCTGTGTGGTCCCTTGCAAGTTTGAAAGTCTTTTTTTTTTTTTTTTAATATGTGATACTCTAAGTTTAAATCATCAAAGTTGTAGCTCTTTTCAACCTTGCTGATTCTGATATTATCACCATGAGAAGTTTCTTGCTTCTTGCATAGATTTAAATGTACATAACAGTTGATGCCAGTGGTTTTATTTGGGATGTTTGGACATATTTACATTTGTACTTAGGAAAGCATCTTCTGAACTGTGACAACGAACTGTGAATTTATTAGGAAACAGGTCTTCAGAATATTGGCAAGGTTCTTGTGTTCACTGGAACCTCTATTTAAATATCTTTAGGGTCTGTCTTCAGAACACATATGTTCTTATTAATTGATTACACGATAATGAAAATGATAACAAGTTGACAGTTTTAACGCTTTTTCAATGAAGTGCTAGTATGATAAAATAGGCTCAGTGAAACTTCTGTTGGATTCTACTTTACTGAAGATGAAGAAATAGTTTAGAGTTTACTTTAAAAATGAGATAATATCATAACGGGCCAGTTAAACTGGCTGCACAAGTAAGTTTGCTACTCTCACCTCATAACCTCCTTCTACGGTCATTTTATCTTTAGATCAGCCTGTTCATCTTAGTTTTTTTCCCTAATAATAATAATTGCCCTCATTATTATAAAAACTCATGTATCCACTTATTTATGAATCTAGCCTAGGCCAGTGATGGTGCTCCTAACTTCTAAGCTGCACTACCTCTTTAATACCAGTCAGAGTAAATATGCTTTCTGTTCACAGTACTGATAGCAGGAGTTCAGTTGATTTGAGGACACTGGGAACTCCAACATATTTGAAGTGTACCTCATCTTAAACTAGAATTCAAAACTTGGGTTGCTGAAAGTGGTAGGACCAAGACTATAAGACTTGTGTCTATTTCAGTAATAATCATGGCCGTGTTTTCACTACCAACCTTAAATGTGTGATATATCAGGATTCAACAACCTTGGTTGAATAAATACACCTATCAATGTCTGATGTACACAGGATGCAAGATCTCTCTGTTATTTAAGTCATTAGCCAGTGACTCCTTCAGGTCACATTTTGAACAAAGGAAACTTACTAAGCCAGTGATTTCTTGCAGTGTTGATATTAGGCAGTCTCAAAAAAGATAGGAAAATAGAAAATAGGAGAGACCTGCAAATGAGCATTAATGAAATTTCAAGCTGAAAAAAGCGGAATCATTATATTTTAATTATCTCTGTGCTTATTTGTTTTATTATTAGTGTTTTACTTTCAGTATACACACACACACACACTATATATATATTTAGGGACATAAATTTGTAGGTCTTTTGAGAAACATTCTAGCTCGATTTTAAAACTAGAGGATGCAGGACAAGGAGCAGAACTCAGATCTTTGTTGGAGGTGGAAGCAGGCTCTGCCTTCTCCCTGCCTGCACCTGGACATACCCTTCACAAGAGAAAAGTGTGGCAATAGGTCTTATTTGGGCATTTAACACTTTGACAATCCTACTACACTTAACTAGCAAAGTCATCTTCTTGCTTCCTAAAATGACCATTTGACCCTTTCACTTGTCTTGATAAGTCTCCTAAAACCTGTTCATTCTCAGCTGATCATTTTTCTCATATTTAATTTGAATACCGTAGTCATGAGGTAGGAACATCTTCATCTTCCTAATGTTAAATCAACGGAACCACTTCTTAGTCACCCGTGCCCTCTGTGGTCTTCTTGTTAGTAGGAGTGCCTGTTTGTATTCAAGGCCAGCTCTGTCCCTGRGGATCTGATTCCTGTGCTTCTTTTCCTCCCTGGCCCTTTGCTTCTGCAATACCTCCCTTCTCTAATCTTCATATTAGTTTTTTTCCTCCAGTGAAATCTCAATAAGCGTATGAATATGCTCTAACAGTTCCTATTCCAAACAACACCATGCCAGATTTCCTTCAAGCAATGGCACCATTTCTCTGATGATTTGTATAGTTTCATAGTTATCTATGGTTGCTCTCTCTCCGCATGCATTCTCTACTCAAATAGTATGCGACTCTTAACAGTCACAGATCTGCCCTGTTTCACTTGAACTCTGAGTATCAGTCAAGAAAGATGGTTGATCACCCTCTCTTTTTTAAAGAACATGATCTAATGGGCATTCCAGCTGTTGCTTCCTAACACATCCTCATAAATCTCATACTGGATGAGTTTGTAGATCTTCTGGGTGGTTAATAGGTCTCTGAATTGCTGGCTGTTTTTTTTATGGCTGAAGGTTATGTAATGCTGCCCTTACATGTTGGGGGTTTGCTCTTCTAGGATGGCCTGAGCTGGAATATTCCAAAGGTAGAAGCTCTGCAAACTCTGGCCCACACTACCCACTGTCTCTCTCCATTGATAAAATAATAGTGGGGATGCCCTGGTGGCAATCCCTGGGTTTGTGTGCATGTGCTGATATATATATATAAAAATTTGCAATCTTTCTATTCCTTTACAGTTCTGCAAATTGCATGGCTTTGTTTTCAGGTGCAATGGAAATAATTAAGAACTTAATGCAGCGATTTTTTTTTTTTAGTTTCTGATTGTGCAAAAACAGGAGTAGAGAAGAAATAAAAACATACTCAAATTATTTTATTTCTGTGTGAAGACCTGTATGAACAGACAAAACCTTTTAGGATAAGTACATTGTACATAGAAGTCAACCTTTTGGTGTGACTGAGGAAGTTCTCATGAATAGAGGACCTGTCACTGAAATTCAGAACTTTTTTTTGTATGTGAAAGTACAACTTGGCAACTTTACCATCCATGAGAATGTGAGAGTTCTGGGAAGATGACTCATTCAGTTATGTAATGATATGAAACCATATTTGAATATAAAAATAAGTGAAAAACAGAGAGTCTAGGAGGGAGTACATACTGCTGACAATAGAGTATTCGGAATAGATATGAGTTCTTTGAGAAATTAACAGATACCATAATAGTGAAGAAAAAAAATGAATACTGCTCGTTGAAACTGATTCCATTTAGCATGTCAAATTAAATATGAAAGGGTCTATAGAAGATCCCTTGTTCAACACCATCCTGTAGGTTAAAACACCAAACAAAATCTGAGGTCTGGGGAGGTTTATGGATTTGCCAAAGGGATGCACAGAGTTTGGGCACAGCAGGGTCAGATGACAACCTGTCAACACCCAATTCTCATTTTTTTTTTCTGGGGTTTGGCACCACTGTATATTGGAGAAAAATCCTATAATGACTTTAATGTGTTTCTAAAGTATTTTGGACCTAGAAAAATAATCCTATGTCCTGTGCAGGCTCAGGAATTTCTTAACTTGGCTGTTCCAGATAATATATATTCAAGCTTTCATATCCAGAAAATTGATGTTTGGTTTTCATGATATAAGATGGAAAATTAAGTCTTACGATGTATGGCAAACTATGAGGCTGTGTTTTTCACAACTTTATTTTCATTTGATATCTTTCACATGGGATGTTTTACTCACGTTTTCTAATATCTCAGGTCTGCAGGCTGGAGTAGTTGAATTCTTAGAATCTGTGTTGAAGTGGAAATCCCCCATGACAGTTCTATTTTGGGGAGACAACTTTACTTGATGTGCACTGTCTACCACATAAAACTGAACTGACCTGAATGGTTTTCCTTTTTTTAGGGAAAGTAGGGAAACAACTGAAATTACAATTTTTTTTCCATTTATCTAATGTGAATATAAAAGTGATTATGTAAGAAATACTAAAATATGTGGCAAAACAATAACGGTTAAATCTACTAATTAACTTTTGTTTGTAATGGAATTAGAATTTGCCTCCATATATTATTTGAAAATCAGAGACATTTAGTATCTGTGATTATAATGATGTATATATAGGAACGTTCTGGGTAGGCAGTTTGGTGAGAAGGGAAGGGAGTAGACACTGGAGTTCCCTTGCCAGGGCGAAGCTCCTGGCTACCACTGTTCCCCAAGCACCTCCAGGAAAGTTCCTTATACTCCTTATCATTTTTAAGCAGGCAGGCAATAACACTGCCCCCACAGTAGGACTGAGATGAGTTATACATCGAACTAACAAAGTACTTAGCACTTCAGAATTTTGCTTAGTTATTGCTGAGAGAATAAGTTAATGGYATATGAACTCATTATGCAAGGAGTCACTTGTCATTTTGTTGTTGTTGTTGTTTAAAAAAATACTTGAAAGAGAATAATATGTGGTTAGTTGAAATTAGGTGAATGGAATGGTTCCGGGACCCATTTCTCCTAAGATAATTGCATAATCTACCATGTCTCTTTCTGTTTCTCTCTTCTTTTTATGCAATCTTTTTTTTTTTTTTAACTATTGGTAACATTTTATGGTTTCCTCATTGGTTAGTGAATTAAAATCCTTGACATGTTCATTTTAGATGTGTATAGGAGTCATATTCCCCTTAAAAATTAGTTTTTAATGACCACTCCCAAGAGCTTATCTGCTTTGATAARAGAAGACATTTTTTAAAAAGCGACATCCTGAAAGTCAGTTTCCTTTCGATATTGGGTGTTACTCGGCATTTTTGACTTGTTCCCAGTTAAATGACAACACCATTTAATGACTATTACCACTAGGAAAGGTAAAATGATAGCTTTATTTACTTTTTAAAATTAAGCGCCCATGTGTGAATTCATGCACACTGAATTTTATAAATGTTCAGTAAATAAGATTAACGTTTTAAATTTCTTAATGCAAACATGAAGCTACCAGCAAGCAGGAGGCATCCACATACCACTCCTTGGAACAGTTTTAGGTACATCAGTTGGTGGTTCTGTAGTTCATGTGGATTTCTGGGTTTATGTCGCAGACCATCATCAAGAGCTGTTTAATCACATCCTCCATACACTTGTTGTAGCTCCCATGAAGTTCCTGAAGCTTTCCCTGTGTTTGTTCTTCAATTTCGTAGGAGACATTACTCTGAGAACCCATTATCTAGGAAGCAAGAGATGGAATCATCACACCATAGTCATGTTAAAATTTTGTTGTTTTATAAACCCTAACCTATTTATTGATGAATGGTCTATGGAACACACACTATCTATTCTTTTTCCAGATTTTTCCCCCAGAGGACAGACTAGAACACTAAGACCATGAGTGTGAAGATGGACTTTCCTGTTATGGAAATGACATAACAGGCTATTTTTTCACTTCTAACTGATGACCACGCAGTACAAATCACAAACCAGTTTACAGTCATGATACTATGCTCAGAAGTTTTCTCATCACATTTCTCATGTTTTGTACTAGTTTCCATTCTGATCTCACATCTCCCCTGTTGCTTAATTTCTGAATTACTAGTCTAGAAAACAAAATTGGTAGGCACCAGTAAGCCCACTTTGGCTAGTTTTTAAAGAGAGGGTTATTGGGTTTCCTATTGTTAAAATACATTATCTGACCTTCATTGATTCTTGGGAAGATACAGCTGAAGTACACATCCCAAATGCTTTTACATGCCTATGGAGACAGATACGGCTAATAGATACACTATTGAGAGTTTTGGTATAAATTGAAATTCTTTCAAATTGAGATATGCTTGTTMATTTAGTCAAACTATCCTTTAGCCACAGTTGAACAGACCTTTCTAATTACTCTTTAATTGGCTGTTAGCACTTTCCATCATGTTCTCTATCCTCTTAGTTTCTTATACAACCATGAGTCGTGATTGGACCAAATCCTTATCTTTCAGGGAGAGTTATTGGGAGAGTTATTATTTTAAAGGAAAACTGCACTGAGACACTTTGAAAGTCAACCTTAGATAAACAATCAACTCTTAATTCATCTATTTGTGAACTTGATCTTTCTTAAATGTGGTTTCATTAAGACAAGATAGCTGGATTTGCTTGTTTTCCACTTCTGTGTTAAGGGGAGAGGTGCATCTGGTATGATCTAAGTAGTTCCACTAATCATGACTTCCACCTTAGGGTTGCTAGACTATTCTAACATCTGGAACCCCCATAATTGTTCTGGATCCTAAGCTTCAAATCAAATGCAACTGAGTCTATTGGGTTCCAGTTCTTTTCTGTTTATAATCCAGGCAACAAGGGCATCCCAGTTCAAAGAAAATAATTTTGAGAAGATGCAGCTTCTGAGACACTAAATAACTTTTACAAAATAATATTTTCATAAATGAGTATACAGAAAGCAGACACACATGGTCCAAATTTCCATTACTAAGGGGTTTAAAAATAGAACTGTTTATCAAAATAATTCTACCCAATTCAAACTTTTTTCTTTTTAAATTTACTGGTTTATTTGGGACTCTAAGGAATTGAAAAACAATTTTTTTCTCTTAAATCCAATGTCTTAAGTGGTAAAAAAAATTAAAAGATCAACTGTTATGAGACTGTTACCTATGCTGGGTACATAYTTGTTAAGCAAAGTAGAATGATCATATCTCCAATCTCCAAATGTTACAGAGAACTCATTACCTGTGTTGTGTTGTTCCTGTTGGCAGAAGCGTGTTCACATTTGGGACACTATGTACATTACAAGTTGATCATTCTGTAACATGTCATGATCCATTTGTTCAAAGGGTGCCACTTTAGGACTTTTTTATTTTTCAAAACTTTTACTTTGAGAGTGATGTGCACAGACTTCCAACCTAATGACTGATACTGACAGTTGGATCTTCAACACTAAGTATCTTTCCTTAGCAATTGTTCAAATGCTCCAGTTTCAGGGATAGCAGAATTTCAGGACCCACAATCTTAAAGCAAAACAGTTTGGGACTCTCAATTTTTTATTACTTCAAGGAAACAAAATGCTCTCATGATATGAATTCAGAAGTAAAAAATATAAAAGTCTTCTGTGTGCTCATGGAAACCATTATTTGGGTCTTTTGTTTGGATTCGTGGCTTATCTGACCTTTACTAATGTTAAGAATAGATTTAATTTTCTGTAGTCCATATTTTCTTTTAGCAATGCCATATCTCTTTAGGAGTAGATGGTACATTAGGTAGAAATGATGAGCAAGGGATAAACAAGTCATTGATAAAGTAGTACCAGTGGATATATAACTATAACCCACATTTGAATAACCTGTCTGTGTTGAATAGTAAGAAGACTCCAAGAAACATTTGTATTAACAAAAGCTAAAAGGCAACAACCAAAAAAGAAACATCAGGGTACAATACCCACAGCAGGCATAAAACCATTTTTTTGGGTCTCCTCCCAGACCTCCTAATTGCCCTGGGTTAATGATGACGAGATTTAATGGGAATAGCAATATGCCTGACATATGGAGGTCATCCAAGGAAAGATCCGCAGTAATGGTTTTACATTATGCTTGAAGAAGCAAGAGGCTTAAACATGATGACTTTTCTATGTGAGCTTTTGATCAACTAGCTGTAAAATTGGCTTGGAGCTCCAATTATGAGAGCAAGAAAGAGTTTTAATTATTGTCTAAAGCAGTGAACAAATCTTGAACCAGATTTACATCTGATAGGATTCTTCAGGAGAAATAGTATTTCAAGAGGTTTAATCCAACCACTTGCAGAAATTATGGTCAGATTTGTTATGACTTAAAAAAAAACAGAAATAACAACTATCCTTTCAGAGATACCCTACATATAATAATCAAAGCTGGTTGTTATGAAGGATGATTATTTTCTCAGATTTTAATATAACAGGATCCAATGGGAAAGATAAAGCCACAGAGGAAATATTTAGTTATTCATTATTTCCACTAACTTTTATTGCATGCCTACTAGGAGGCGGACTGTTTTAAAACCTAGGAAAACAACAGAGAATAAARCAATGAATCTGCTATTTTGGTGCTTACAGTGAGAAGGAAAGATAGGCAGTAAGAAAAAAGTGTAAATACTTAATATATCAGACAGTGATAAACGCAATGAAGAGAAAGAATGGACTGTAATGGAGTATTGCTTTCCTTTACTTTCAAAAGAGAGGTAATTTTAGATAAGGTCATCAGGAAAGAAAATTCATGATCACATATTAAATAAAGATGAATGAGTCAAAAAGATTAGAATTACAGGGAGTAACATGAGGTGTGTAAAGTTCCTGTGGCAGGGGCATGTTCTGTTTGACAAGTTCATTCTATATCTCATCATGCATTTTAAAAATTAATTTTACTAGTAAACATTAAAGAAACAAAATGTTTTCTGTAGTTTTTTTTAAAATGGTGTCAATCAATAATCTGTGGTAGCAATGATATTTTAGTCCCTTCAATTTGTATATTTGAGATTATGATTTTTTWAAATACATAGTCAACATCAGATAACAACTATCCAGAGACATATTGTCTGACAAATTTAAAACACCTTGAAACTGAAAAGGTAAACTTGATAATTCTGTAATGTTTAAGATCTAGTTTGGTGTTTAGCCTTGTGTGGACTGTATCTGCTGAATCACAGCATAGTTCTCCTAAGATTACTCCTTATGCCTTATGAATATTAATATCTTATCTTCTATGCAGCATAAGTCAGTGCGGGCATCCTGGCTTACCTTAGACTGTTTAAGTCGAAACTCCTGGTCTCTCTGCATTCTGTATTGGTCCACTTCAGCCATCGCCTCCTCCTTAGCTTGCTTCAGTCTCTTCCCCTTTCCTGGAAGTTCACAGTGGCATAGAATAAATGATATTTCTTTTAGATATGCATGGGATTTCAAATTTGATTTTTTAAAACATGGATGATTTCTCCATGTTTTTAGACTCCTCCCCCTAGAATGTCAAACTTCATTGCAAAAAAATAATATTGAAAATTTCTTATTTTTCTATAGGATTCTTTAGAACATGGCAATGACAACTTTCTTTCACACTTACATGTTTAAATAAAATATCTGCCCGTTTACTCACAGCAGTAACAGCCAGAGAACAGCTTTTGGCTSTCACTTACTCGAAAAGACATCATTTGGTCAGATTTTCTGTCCTGATTTGCTGCCAGGAATCCTTCAGTCCACACCAACTGGATCCTATTTGCCACTGGCAGTTCTCCAAAATCACGACAAACATGCAACTCAGACTCTATCAAACTGACTTGTAATTTTTTTAGACATTTTATTGGGATTTTTTTTCTTACCATTTGTTAATCTAGACTGTCTGATTAAACCCCACGGTACATCAAAGTAGATTTTCTTTTTCTTGTAGTAGCTTTCTCTGAGGGGGACTTGAAAGTGGTTGTAAAACCAATTGTTTTTAATGGTTAGGACATTTCCTTAAGTAGTCCCTTTTCTTTTATAAAGAGCTAAGGTGTAAGCCTTCAGCCAGCAGACATTGTGAGATGAAAGTTTGAGACAAATACAATCAGCTAAGCACACAAAGTTTTGGACAACCAATGTAATATTAATTGCTACTATGACCCCACCACCTTCAGGGGGTTAGGTACTAAGGATTTGTGATAATTAAAGTTGTAAAGAAACTGAACCTTATGAAAATTCTTTTTTTCTCTGCATCTCCTATCTTTCCATTTCAGTAAAATGCCTTTCTTCTTTTGCCCATTTAGTGTGATTTATCATGTCTCAAGATTTTGTTTACAATTTTTGTCAACTGTTACATTGTGTAGACTTTGAACTAGATAATATGTTCTCATTAAGTAACATGGAAGAAAACCTTCATATTAACTTTTGTCTATCATCTGTGTATGTTATTGATATCTTTGTAGCATTCAAATGTAGACAGTTGCTAAATTTCCCTACTAGGTTTGAGTGGCTTTGCTAGTCACTGGGTATGTATTTGAAATAAGGATAGATGCACTCTGACTTGCAAATTGAAATGTTCCTTTTTAATGTCTACCATCCTTGAATGGAACTGGTGAAACCTCACTTAGAATAGGTAATTAGCTTTCTTTACTGTCTTGAAAATCCACGTCTGGTAAAAATGAATGTTATTCTGGTGTTTGAGGCTTAGTGGTTGCTACATTAATGCCTACCTTCACCCTAGTTAACTAATGCTCATATTGTGTATTCGGATTCCTTTGTTCTCTATGTTTCTTACCATTTTGTGGAACCAAACACATTCTATTCCCAGAGATTCTGTGAACAGAACAAATAGAAGTGTTGGTACGGAAGCTGATTCCTTGGTCCACAGACTGCTTTCTTATCACTGTTTTTAACATCAGGACAATATAAAATGGTAATGTATGAATATTTTCATGGCAATAATGAGTTGCAATGCCTCTAAATATTTTATAAAATAAATCACAGATGCCATCATTATGTTTAGTTGCATAATATCTAAAACGATTGGTTTCAAAGTCGTAACTCTTTAGTACATAATAATGATAAAATGATAATAACAATAACAGTAATAATAATGGGACACACGCTGCATGCCCTTCCTCTGAGCAGGATCCTGTGATCCACTAAGAGCATGCACATAAGCTCGAACACCCTGTGACAGGCTCAGTGTGTGTCTGTGATTCCCAGGTCRTGGCACCAGTCACCTGCTGGCTCTCATTCAATTAAATAGGAGAGCCACAGGGAAATCACTGCTGGCACAGTAGTTTTCTGGATGGACTCAGCAGCTGCCACCGTGCAAGGGGCTATGTGTACTACACCTGATTTAATCCAGTGGAAGAAACAGAAGTCTAAAGCCTACAGCTTGGTTAGAGGTGAAGCACATGCACGTGTCAAATCCACTCATCTTAACCTCCAGCTTGCTTCTTGCTCTGTGTAGGAAGATGGCCAAATTTTGAAATTGTACTTGTTTATTCTGAAGCACCAAAAACATGGTGACTGTAGACAAAAAGAGGTTCATATTCTTAATTAATATCTGTACACTTTGTTTCAAATACAGGAGTAACCATATGAGACAGTCAGATTTTCTACATAAATAATTGAATATATGATCCACAAATTCCTATAAAGACACAGGATTATCAGGCAGAATGTCTTGATTTTTTGGTTTAGAAATTGTGTTCATCTTATTCGTCGTGATTTTAAATAGTGCTAAAAATAATGCTGTATAGTTGTGTAGGAAAGGAGGGTTTTACTTTATTCTTCCATTATTCACTTCAACTTTACTGACCACCTACTATATAAGCATACAGTGAACAACAGAGGAGAAGTAAACAATGCATGGTCCTTGCTTCCAGGTGACATAAATTTCACATACTTTGGAAATGTGTGCATGCTGCTCCAGCTTCCAAGAAGAAAATTGTAAAACAAAATGGCAAACTGCCTAAAAAAAAATTGTAAAAAAGCTAAAACATAAACCTTTGTTCTGCTTGTTCTGGAGCAGTTAAAAAAATCACAATGCTTATAGAAACACTGCTACTAAAATTCTATAGAGAGTCCATGGTTTGCCTCTACTCCAATAGTCATGCTATGTCTTACATTAAAAAAGTAACACCCAAAAGTGTAAACAAATTCACCCGGACACATATCACAGGACTTTGAGGAGGCTGTTGGAGGAGGTTAGGAGAAATCTCTGAGGAAGGAACCACTAGACTGAGTAGATGTACCAGCAAAGACAGAGCAAAGGTACAAACTAAGAAAGGACAAGAAGATCCTTTATAAGATGGATCTGAGGACAGTCTAAATAGTTCAGCCTCATTCATTTTTAGACATGTAGCTTATTATGCAGACATCTACATTTAACAAGTCATGGTTGAGATATATTCTACAGAATTGTTTTGTGAAGAGAAAAAGGGGGATTCTTGACCTGATTTTCAGGTATTTTGTGGAGAAAGAGTTAAAAAATCAATTTGGGGCAAGTTAAAGCTGAATTCCACATATGCTCAAGGTAAAGATCTTTTTGCTCAAAGATAGGCTCTGCTCTTTCTGGAATTGGACAAGTGAACTTCATTGCCAAAGATGCAAGCCCTGAGACACAGAGAAAGCAACTCTATTGCTTGGGCTACTAAGCTTTTTTGGAATCATTTCTGATGGGAAAAATGATATTTCATTTATTTTCTCAGAAATGAGTCAGAATTATCCACTTGGTACCACCAGAACAGGACATCATAAGCTTTGTAACTTGGAGCATGTTACTTAGAATTTGAGTCTGTTTTCTTATCTATAAAACAGAGCTAATAATCTCTTATAATAAGTTACTGGAAATATTAGAAAAGAAACTGAACTAGTTATTTAATGAGTTTTTAATCTTAGGAAAACAGGTTCAATTAACGTTAAGAAGGAAAATGATAAGCGAGGCATGAGTTTGAGGAAAAGTCCTCAGGCCTTCCCCAGGGATATCCTAGGAGAGGTAATCATAGTCCAACAGGACAGACAAGTCTGGAATTTAGGAGAAAGGACTGCAATGGAGGAAGATTTGCATGTCAGTCATCCAGGTTTGGGTGTGTGCTAGTCATAGCAAAGGTATTTGGACAGAAATTAAGGGAGAGTATAAAGAATGAGGAGAAAAGAGGGATAAGGTCTCAAATTGGGGGAATATCAACGTTCAAGAAAAGGAAGTGGATCCTCAGGAGAAGCCTGACAGTAGTAGGCAGAGAGGAAGAGAAATTAAAAAGAAGCTAAACTCGTGAAGAGAACATCCCAAGCAGCCTATAGCCAATGGAATCAAATGCTACAGAAATCTGAAATGGACCACTTAGGCATCTGACATTCTCAGATGTCTAATAAGTACCACACACTTTTCTGGATGTATGGAAATCCCACAGACTTCCCGTTGTTATGGAATCTGCCTTTTGGATGCAATTCRGGAGACAAAAATAGAAAATAGACAATGTATACATAATATGACAAGGATATTGAATACTATGAAGAATAAAGGAGCATAAGGGATAGAGAGAAATGGTGATAGGTRCTAATTTAGATAGATCAGTTCCCTCAGATAAAACGATAGGCAAGCAGAGACTTGAAGAAAAAACACAGATGGTCATGCAGGTAGACGAAGGGGAAGCCTGTTCAAGGTGGAGAGAACAGCAAGTACAGAGGCCATGGWGGGAGGGCATTTGACATGTTCCAGGAATTGCAGAAACACCACCTCTTTGCTATGGCAAAGAAAACAGGACAGTTTAGTGTGAGGAGATGACCACAGTACTAGTAGTGGGCCCAGGTCARGTGCCGCTCACAGCTCACAGCTCACAAGGCGTGTCTTTGAGATGCTAAATTCATGAAGGAGTCTTAGCTAAGGTGCGACATAATACTGATCATGATTTCAAAGGAGTTTTKGGCTGGTGTAGAAAAGATTTAGGGCTAAGGGAGTAGCATAGAGGTAAGTTGTAGTAGAGTTGACAAGAAGGGATTATATATTCTTTGGAGTTGGAGGAGTTGATTGATCAGTGTAAGAGACAAAGATGAGTTAGTGATGACCTCAACATTTTATTTTGAGGTGGAGTCTAGGATACAATTTTGTTGAGATGTCAAATATCCAGTAGTGAYTTTGAAAAAGCTGATGTTCATCTGAATTTGGAGATCAGAGAAGCGGCTGGGGCAGGAAAGATCAAATTTGGGATCCTCTACATGGAGTCAGGATTATAAAGTCAGAGGATTGGATGAGAACACCTACGGAGTGTCTGCAGATGTACAGAATAGGTCCCCAGTGGGGCGCTGATCTTCTCAGTGGGACTGAGAAGATCTAGAAGCCAACCATGAATGTAGTGTCCTGAAGTCAAATGGAAGAAGAATCTTAAAGATGAAAGAGGAA